GGATTTGTGACCTGGGTACAGGATAATTTGTTTCATTATTCTGGTGACTCATGATTATGTAGTCGTTGGAAGATTCATTATTTAGTCATCTTGAGGGTGAAAAGTTTAGTGATTGTCGCTTGGTGTGGTTGGTAGTCGTTGTACGGGTATGTAATGGTGTAGTTAAGTGTTAGGTAGTGAATGTTTGGTCTGACAGAGATGTGTAAATTAGAGTTGAGCCTGATTGTGTGATGGACGGGGTTCCTCGTTTGGGGTCTTGTATATCCTTTATAGGATAAGTTGAGATAGGATGTTGTTATGTTTAGGGATCTAGTGACCGTTTTTCTTTTGGGCTCCAAAGTCTTATTTAGCGGTGTAGAGAGGATCAGTGTTGGTTCTAAGTCAAGTGTAGAATTCAGCGGGTTTTGTGTATGATGCTGTGAGTAATGAGTACCCTCATAGGTGGTGAGCATTGGATTTTTTTGACAACAGTGTGTGATTGCCTATTGGCATCAGGTGCCAAAGGCAATAAGGTTATTGAGTTCTTAGCTCTACAGTTAGGTGAGGTGTTTCTCGGGAAGGTGTGTGGTTGTGGGTCTCCTTCTTTAAGGAAGGTAGATTTCGAGGACGAAATCTTTTAAGGATGGTAGAATGTAATGTTTCCAATTTTTACCATTTTCCATTTTATAGAATTTTCTGAATTTTTTTAAAGTAATTTCGTCTTTTCTCGTTTTACGTGCCAGACACCGTGGGGTGCCGAATGAGTCCCAAGAGTTGTTGGGGCATTTTCTCGAGTTCAGAACTCTTGAAAATGTATTGGTTGTCATTTTGACATTTTTCTATTTTTTGGATGTGGGACCCGTTATTGGAGTCGTTGTGCACGGGGGTTGTGCCACTGGTTTATTGCATTTCATGCATTGTTATTTTGTATATATTTTGATCGGAGCTAATTTCCTTTTGGACTACATTTGGGGTTCGAAAATTTGGGTATAATTTGGGGCTTTTCTCATCCTTTGAGGTATAATTCACATTTTCTTAAATTTTAGTGAATTATCTTTCATTAATTGTTGTAAAATATGCCTAAATTTTGTGGATTCTTGCAAAGGTGACTTAATTGTTTTATAAGTGATGTATGGTTATGTGTTAATTGTTATTTGAGGAGAAAGCATGCTTAAATGATGTATATGAGAAATATGATTATGTGTTAGTTAATGTTTTGTGTATAAGTATGCCTATGTGGAATAAAATTTGTGCCTTGTATGTTTACTATGTTAAATCATTATTGAATGAAAGTATGAATTACACATTTTGAAATTTTTTATGGAAGAAAGAAAAAGAAAGGGAAAAGCGTTTTTGAAGCAAATAAAATCGTTTTGAAAAAATTGTTTTCGAAAAGTGTTTGCGAAAACCGGACGCCTAGGAGACGCCTAATGATCCGTGGTGTTAATGTAGTCTAGAGGGGACTAGAGATTGAGCTAACTAGGCTGGATGCGACGCCATGGAGGTGCCTTGTAGTCGTGAATAGTTAGTCAATCCTCTCTCCGTGACACTTTGGAGGTGCCTTGGGTCAGATTGTACTAACGGTTTAGAAGTTGAAACGGTAATGTTTCGTAAAATAAGGAGTGACATGGGCATGGCATTGCATTTTATTAGCATACATGGTATAAGTGTGACTTGAATGACAATTGTGGTTATATTTGATGTTGTGATTATGGATTATATCCCTAGTATAATATAATCTCGTTCTCTTGATTTTTATTCTATACGTGGATTCACGGGGTCATAAGAGGTGTGTCTTAAGCACCTCCTACTGAGCTTATTCTCACCCCAATATCTTAACATTTTTCAGGTCACAGAAAGGAAGTGGCGGACGACGCTCCTCCATAAGTTTAGATGAGTTAGTAAACTGTTTTGATATCTTTTGTAGCTATAATATTATTTTTATTTTTATTTTTATTATAAAACCTAGGATAACATGTATATTATGTATTGACATAAGAAATGATGGTAGTGTCCTTAATTGACCTCGGGTTCGGAAAAGGACTGGGTTAGTGATTCGGACCCTTGGGTTCAGGTCGTTACAGTTTTGAAGTAAGACGTGTTGATAAATCAGTTAAAATTTGGAAGATAAGTGATTTGTTTAATTAAAAGATTAAACTTTTAAGAAACAATTTTTTTTTTTTAATCATAGAATCAATTTGCATGACAAATGATTCCATTTAATTAAAAGATTAAAATTTTAAGAAACAATTTTTTTCAGAATCGATTTGCATGAATTGCTAGACACAAATGAATGAATAAAAAACTTGTGCATTAAAAATATTTAAAATGATTTTGTGGAAAATTTATAATTAATAATAATTACTATAATAACAGTTTTATACGAAAAAATTGGAATAAATCAACTCCTTAGATTTACTGTGATTATTGTTGGAATTCTTTATTTAAATATAATTACATTTACAAATTTTAAAAAATCCTATATTCTTCTATCCTTTAAATCTATCATGTTCAATAAAACTAAAATACATAACATATTAAACATTAGGGATTGCACAACTATAAAATAACAAATTGGTAGCACTTACACCTTTACCTCACATCCCTACCCACTCTTAGCATTTGATGAATACAAATGAGACTTCAACTTCTTACATAGACATCTCTTCTTTAATAAACGGGTAAAATTTATTCTATCATATTCTCCACTTAAATATTTAACTATTTACAAACTTCACAAAATTCTATAGCCTTCTAAAATCTTTTTAATCTATCCATTTTTACAAACTCTGTAATAGTTTAGGATCATCCATTTACATCTATCCATCTGCAATGCAATGCACTACACATAGGCCTATTATTTGTGTAATTACATTTTTTTTAAAATATTTAATTATTTGCAAACTTCACAAAATTCTATACCCTTCTAAAATCTTTTTAATCTATTCATTTTTATTAGGGTTGGCAAATGGGTTAGTTGGGCCGGATTTTTATTGGGTTGAAAATGGGCTGGTCAACATGGGTCAAGATTCATACTCAACCTGTTTAGAACGGGTTTAAAATAGACAAAGTTAACCCGTTATGACCCGTAGACCCATTAATTATTATTTTTTATTTTGAAATTTTTTTATTTTTTAAAAAAAATTAATTATTTTTAAAATTTTTAAAAAATTTTATTTATTTTTTATTTTTTATATTTATTTATTTTTTTAAAAAAAAATTTATTTATCCAGAAAAAACGTTTGGCCCCAACAACTGCATCCAGATAATATAATACCCATCCATTTCGTGTCTGTGTCTGTTTTTCTTTGATGGGCTTTGGGATTAAAATGACTTCCTCTGTCCCTTTATGATCTGGAATGACAAATATGTTCTACTAATTATATTTGTGTATATATATTTTACCTTTATAAAAATAAAAAACAAAAAATAAAAATAAAAAATTATCAATGCTGGCACGACATACAGAAGAAAATAACTATTTTAGTAACTTAGATAGTATTTGACAAAATCTAAAACTAAAAATTTTATGAATTGAAATTTTTTTATTTTTTTAAATTTTTTTATTTATTCTGAAATTTTTTATATTTATTTTTTTAAAAAAAATTAATTTTTAATTCTTAATTATTTATTTTTTTTAAAAAAAAATCTAGAGAGAGGGAATTGATAAGAAACAAATTTAGAATGAGAGGATTGTGAGCTAGAGGATTGTAGAGAGAGAGAGATGTGTTTAGTGTAAAATAAAATAAATGTGTGCTGCGTGTTTACTATGTGATGGGTGAAATATGGTTAACCATATTCAACTCATCTTAACCCTCAAATTAAGTGGTTAAAAATTACCCAACTCATCTTAACCCTCAAATTAAATATGGTTCACCCATAACTATTAAAAAGGAAACTGATGAGAACGGGTTGATGATTCCTGACTCATTTTACACCCTTAATTTTTACAAACTCTATAATATTTTAGAATCATCCATCTACATCAATCCATCACTACACTACACATAGGTATATCATTCGTGTAATTACATTTTTTAAAAATATATGTCCGTAAACAAACTGTCCAATATGGTGTACCAAATTCAAACCTGGTTGAAGGAGTTTGCGATGTGCTTTCCAATTTGTTTCAGCTAATGGTTTGTCGAAGCTGATTTTAGAGGGTGACCGTCCAATATGTTATTCGCCTTCAAGCCGTAGAAATTTGATGTCGAGTTTAAATTGAACCAAGTCCGAACTATTCATGGACAATTCGACCCTAGTAACCTTACACGTACATATTTGTTCACAATTCTTGTAAAATGGTAGAGACTGGTTTTGGATCATTAGGCATGTAGGCATATTCCACTGGGGAATGTGGTATTTAATGATCAGCCAAATCATCCCTTTGGGTTAATCACCTTTTTTTAAAAATAATAAAATAAAGGGAGGAGGGGGTTGTCTTGTTGACAAAAACAGTTGGAACTTGAAAGCACTATATAACTTAAGAAGTATCCATGAATGCTGCTAATGTGAAGAGAAAGTGAATCCCTCTCATCTCTGTCTATCTCTCAAAATGGAGAGATGGGTTATGATGTTACTAGTTTTATTGGCTTTTCTATTCCAAAAATCTCATTCCAAAGGTATGTTCCTTCTCATTGAGAATTGTGACATGCTTGTATTTAGGAAAGAATATCATACGTTTTGTGCAATTTCAGATATTACTTATGCAAATCATGCAATTTTTTTAAAAATATATATATTATTATGAAAATTATCCTTAATCCTAAACTTGACTAGCATACTTGATATGTGCACTAAGGTGGTATATTTTTGTGCTAAGAATGTGTGACAATGACCAGAACTCCTTGAAACTTTTCGAAGTTTTTGTTCAAGTTCAAGTTCTTACTTATAATCCGATGAACTCGACTCATTTTCATTTGGGTCCGACTTTGTTTGCTTCAAACGAAAATATAACGTTTTGAACCGAACTCTTGATAAAGTCTAGGTCAAGCTGCTTATGAATAACTCCGTATACAACTATGGTTTTTGTTTCTAATGCAGAATCCCTTACGATGCTACTAAACATCGACTGCGGGGCAACAGACTCCGACTCCACATGGGAAATTGATGAAAAGTTCATTAAAAGTGGACAAAACATGCAAATCAACACAACCATAACTCTTCGAGAAATGACCACCCTCAGATTTTTCCCTGATGGCATTGAAAGTTGCTACAATTTACCATTGCTAGGCCGAGAAAGGTACCTAATTCGAGCTGGATTTTACTATGGCAACTATGATGGCCTGTCAAATCCCCCAGCCTTTGATCTCCGCATCAATGGTCAGTATTGGACGACGATTAATAGCACTTTAACAGAAGATCCAATTTATGTAGAAATGATTTACCCGGTAAGGAGGGACAGTGTTAAAATATGCCTGGTTCGAGTTCACAACAATAACCCGTTCATTTCTTCTCTGCAAGCCAGAGTTCTCCCCAGTAATTTCTACAAATTGATGGAGAACACCACCATTCTGAATCTCCATAGCAGAATTCACTTCGGTGGTGAGCGCGATGTTGGGTAATTTGTTAACTCGTTGAAATACTAACCTAGGATTAGAATCATACCATGGTTCGCAATCGTGGTATTGGTTGCAGTTGCGGTAGCGGTCGCGGACTCGGACGAATATCGGTGTAAACCGGCCGAACTGGCCGGTTCATGAAGGTGTGCAATCGTATCGAACCCTTGAAAAAGGGTTACGAACCGAACGATATGTCGCAGCCGATACGGCAAACCATGAATCATACTAAAAAAAATACCAAAACAAAAAATCAAATCAAATCAAATCAAAAGAATCAAAGAAGTCTAACCATATGCGTGTGTTGCAGAAAATCAACAAGGTTTGGCGGCGACGAAGATTTCAACCGCATTTGGAAGCTGAAACAAATGTACAACTACCACAATGTAACTTCTGTTAGAATTCCATACGGCTCCTCTGTAAGTACAGAAAATTGGCCTCCATATATGGCGGTAGCAGATGGAATCTCTCCTCCAAATGGTTTTAATTCAATCTCAATGTGGTTTGATCTTCCTCCACAAACCTCGCAAGCTTACTTTGTGTTTTACTTCAAGGAGCCAGAACAATCGCCCCCAGTATCACTCGTTAGGAGAATTGAGATTTCTATAAATGGTCACCAAATGGCTCTCACTGAGGTCCCCCAAATGGACAAAGACGCCATACAAGTTGTGTCGCTATACCCAGTCCCGGTTGCAGGGTCTGCCAATGTGACACTACAACGCGCAGAAGGGTCTACATTTCCTCCCATCATCAATGCAATGGAGGTTTTCACTTCAATGGAGTTGTCAAGAGCTGAACTTGCTCATCACTATCCTTTCATGGTTCTAGCTTTTCTTCATGTGTTTGGGCTTTCTATGTTGTTGGGATAAACGTTACACTCTTAAGGTAGTATGGGACAGCTAAATGTTTTTGGCACAGAGATAATAATGTTCCCATTCCTATTACTGCTGTTTTACTTAATGTAATGTAGAGGCCTAGACAATGTACTTCAGTTTTGAAACACAGCCTTTACAACAGCAACATGAACAAAAGGCAGTTTTCTTGTTTTGAGTCGAAAAAACTATTATTCGGTATGAATATTATCTATTAATTCCAACTAACAGTTCCGTGGTAGGACTTCTACAAAAATTTACAACTGACCATATGAAAGGGATGTGCAAAAATGATAATTGGTCATCGCAAACAACTAAACTAACTCCTCAAACAATCAAAGTGATCTTTCTTTCCCTGCACATTTTAAGCTTTCAGTCAATAATCAATAATTCTAGCAAGAAGAAAACCAGCAAAATTTCAATCTAAAATATTATGCACCACGAACAAAAATCTCGAAAGCTGCATAGCGTTTTCTTCATATCATGCAAAATGCACCCTAATAGCAATCATTTAACACCATTTTATCTTTAACTAAAGATATAGGACCTGTTCTATATTAGATGGCTACAGACTTCACTCTTTTGACATGGGTAACTGCCTGAGAGCTATTAACTCAAAAATCTAGCTTTTTCATAAAAAGATGCAGCGGCTAATCCATTAATTATTTGTAATGTTTTATACTTTTTGTTCCATATAAAAGAGATGGGAGACTAGAATGGCTAATATAACTGGAAAAAATTGATGCAACAATTGCTTACAATAGCTGAAGAAGGAACACTAAAGCAGACTATTTATCTTCTAAAAAAGGAGATAAACTGAAACTTTACATTGTAAACTGGGAATCTTTGCTAATGTTGAGGTAGAGCCGGAATTTTCTCCAACATGTCATAGTGGAGAACAAAATTATCCTGCAGAAAAGTTGTGTACTCCATTCAGCAGCTATAATTCAACAACTACAACAAACCTTTAAGTGGGAAATATGATAATGAAGGAACTGAACAGGTGTTAATAAATCCAAACCTTGCGGATTGTTTCCCAAGTGTTTGGATCGTAACAGATATAAGATCCTCTCTCATATGAGTTCGTCTTAACGAGTGGCTCCATGTTGGGAACCTTCATCAACCACACTCGGAGCTCTCTGTGATAGAACCAACCTCTGGTATACCTGCAAACAATAGGTGTTACACTGCTATTAGCAAAATTGCAACCCACGACCAGTAAGTATGAACTGCAGGAGGTAAAACACTTCAAGAACAAATAAAATACCAAAAAGAAACACAGTTGAACTAGTACACATGCAGCATAAAAAGGAAATACAAAAACACGAAACACAAATGGTCAAGAGAACATACAGTTCATTCGCAGCATATAACTGGGCTTCATCTTTTGGCATGCTGCACAAGAACAAGAACAAAATATTGTAGTAAAATTACAATCATAAGATTCAGATTCAGAAAGAAAGATTTACAGTGACCTAATCAAGAGACGTACCTGTAGAAAATATAAAACAATGTGTCCAAAGGGAACTTCGAGAAATAAGCTTGCTGCAGCCACCTCAACAAATATATAAGCAAGAAAAGCAATTGGCCAACGACATAGAAACTAAAAACAAGAATGCAGAGCAGCTCACATTCAGAGCAGGTGGTTGTTTAGCATAATAACATTGTGGCACGGTAAACTCTGGGTCACCCTTGGCAGGCTCATCAGACCATGGGGAACCAAAAGTCTTGTGGAGATTTTCTGTTGAGTTTAAGTTTAACCCAAGCGTCGTGAGATCAATTCCAAGTGCAAGGGATGTCAAATCAGGATCGCTCATCCTTATTATGCTTAGCAAACCAAGCAAACCAAATCGGTCAGGAGCAGCTTGTGCAGCCTGCATGGACTTCATGCCCTGATCCCTATACGATTGATTTACAGGAGACATTTGCTGCAGGCGAAACTGGGATTGATTTTGTTGCTGCTGATACTGCTGCATAAGCTGGTCATATGACCCCATACCAGAAACCGTATTCTGAGAGTTAAGAGGTCTTAATCCTATGCCAGGCGGTCCACTATTCTGTAACAATATGAAACAAGATAATCAAGATGTTAAACCATACTGATCTAGAATTCATGATTTTCCATGGACAACATGACAATGACACGTAAGATGAACACCAAATCAATTCGCATCAAAGAAAAAAGAAATTGAATTTTAATATTTACGGAAAAAATCTTAATCATGAGGTTCAATGTAGCAACTCAAATCAGTGTAATCCACCTTCCAACGCTTCCATGGTATTTAAAATAAGGTTATTCTGCTTATAAAAAGCGGGAAATTTGTGCTATTCAGGATGCTAGTTTAATAGTAAAAAATCTACGTAAAAAAAATAAAAAATAAAATAAAAATAAAAATAAAAAAGGAGTTAAAAATCATTTTCTAATTCAATGAATAAGCTCTGGTGACCATGTGGGGCAGGCACTGGAGAACTGCCAGTACAGGAGTTCTGAAGCTTTCCTGTGCTGGGGTGAAGGGCAGGGGTGGTCTTTCAGTTTGGTAAAACCGACATCGAGAAAAGACAAAAAAAGAGACATAATTTTTTACCCTTAAATGCCAAGTAAAAGGAAATCTTATTTCTTTGTGGTATCCATGCAACCCTAAGTAATATTGCAATCAACCATCTGAAGCACCATATTAACACACCTGCGAGTGATAGGTTGAATGCGACGACGGAAATATATCTGAGCCGTGTAAATGAAGCAAATCCTGATTGTTGACATTTGAAAAGGATAAGCCACTACCACTGACAGATTGCACATGTTGCTGTTGCTGCTGGGGACGGTGAGATGAATATGTTCCTCCAAAGTTGAATCCAGAAGACCTCCCCATCTGCAGATTGAAACATCCAAGATTAAGGGTAAACTGAAGAGCATGAAGCATCTGATGACACTGCAGATTGTAATATCCATGAATGATTAAATCTTTCACAAGTTAAACTTACAGGGAATTGCTGAGACTGCATCATAGATACAGCACTGTCATGAAGTTGTTCTTTCTGGTGCAAATCCATGGCATAATCAGCATTCCCACCTGCGAAAAATCTAATTGCATTGTCAATAATATGTGGTTACAAAAGCAGTTAACGAAGATGTCCCCAAAGAATAATATAAGCCATAAGATGCATTGATCCTGTCAAAAAACTTTCCATCACAGTATATACCACAAGATATAAAACATAGAATTCATGCACGTCAGAAACTGCGACAAACATGCTTATCATATACCCAGAAGTTGAACCAAGATACAGCAACATGAATGCTTTTACATCCAGAGCAACTAGCCATATGACGAGACAATTTTGGTTGCAACTATACAAATAAACACTTCCCATAGCCATCTTCTCCTAATGTCATGAGATAATTGCATCAATCAACCTTGACATGGATAATTGAGCAAGAATGGGTTAAGAAACAAAAGGACAAGTTCGATCAGGTAGAACTTCAAAACCTGATATTTGAAAGCTACATATATCTGAATTGTGCTACTTTGAACAAATGAGCAGATCAATCAAGAAGTCAAAGAATAACATTATTATGATGATAAAAGCCTATACAAGCAGCAAGCAACTACAGATTGTTATAGGTTGAGCTGAATAAAACACTTGCTTTAGTCTCTCTTCTTTGGTGACATGAATTCCTACGCAGATCAATCAAGAAGTCAAAGAATAACATTATTATGATGATAAAAGCCAATACAAGCAGCAAGCAACTACGGAATGTCATGAATTCCTACGCAGATCAATCAAGAAGTCAAAGAATAACATTATTAAGATGATAAAAGCCAATACAAGCAGCAAGCAACTACGGATTGTTATAGGTTGAGCTGAATAAAACACTTGCTTTAGTCTCTCTTTTTTGGTAACATGAATTCCTACCAACTCATCAACTAACAATTCCCAGAACCACATGTCTGGGCAGTATCAGAAACTTTGATAAAATTCTAAAATTAATTATGATATCAACTAATAACTCTCACCATTTCCTTTACCATGTTAAACATTAAATTCTTAGTAATCCCTCAGTCCTGTCTTTCCCTAAGCTCACAAAAATAGCATAAAGAGGCAATGCCAACAAATTCATACCACTAAGGTCACAATGACATTAAATCCGGACCAGGTACTTCTAAGAAATAACTGTACAGGTCGGACAAGTCTCAAACAACAACAATTCTCAGACACTTCTACAACAGCACATTTTGGAGATGTCCATAATTTAAAAATAAAATCCTTAATTTCAGACACGTGGCCCACACTTCTTGAACATGTGATCAATAACCGTGGCCATCATATAATACTTTCCTTTAACATAGAAAAAAAGTAATACTGTTAGAAAAATCAAAGTATACATTTTTATCAAATTTATATAAAGTTTGACCATATATTAAAAATAAAAGGAAATTTCTTTGAAAGAGTGAGCACGGAAGTATGAGAGGAGTCATCAAATTATGCATAAATATGCATATACACAAAAAATAAAATAAAAAATAAAACATACACACATAAATATGTCTATCCTGTTATGCCTTTTATCTTGTGCCATGGAAAATTATAGTTATAATAGATATTTTATATAAGACTATATTTCAATATTGTGTTCTTGACACGTTAGTATCTTAATTTTTAAGAGCGTGTCCATGTTGTATCGTATCCGTTTCTTGTGTCCATATCTATGCGTCTTAGATTTAGTTTGAGTGAAATAAAATTTGAGAAAAAAAAAAATAACAATAAAAAGGAGGAAGTTCAAATTCTCCAAACCAAGAGTCCACCCAATGTCTCAAAGCAAACACATCCACTAATTAAATAAAAACTCCTTATCCATAATAATTAATGTCATTTGACTCCCTTTCATTACACTAATACTCAGAGGGCTGGCACGCCATGCAGACCTAAAGTTAATATCTTTATACTCCCCCTGAGACATGCAACTCCAGCAACTAATAAACATCCACCTGTGATGTAATGACATGGCATTTAAATGGAAAATTAGTAAGCAATATCATTTTTCTGCATGTAATCAAGTTAGTTTCTCAGAACTTTATAAATTAAAAATATTATTAATTTTTGAAAGTAGCAAGAAATGTAGCTTGTTTATTAGCTCACATAATTACTGTCTCAACTCTCAAGACTTCTGGGCGAAAAAAAAAAAAAAAAAAAATACTCGAGACTTCTTTCAAATAACAGCCCGTAAAAAAATATATATGTTGGAGGCCCCTTGCAAGCCCCATTTCATGGTGGAGCTGAAATTTTAAAGGATTGTAACCGAGTAGTATCCTACAAGTCAAGAAAAACTTCCCTAAAAGTCAGGTAAGGCTACACATTTGAAACCTTCAGAACTACAGCAACTTAAACAGCACATTCAGGAGAAAAAAAAAAAAATAGTGTTTACATTTCTATTTATAGTGCATCTCAGATGCCTGTTAGTTGTAGACTAGAAATGTACAGTAAGAAACCTCAAGAACAATGTATCTTAGCATCTTCCAGTGGTGCTACACAAGTATACAGTGGTTCATATGTCAGTACTTAAATGATGTAGTTGGAGCTGGCTGCATAAAAGCAAAACTATCCTCCAAAAGGGAGAAGATAACACTGATTAGAATTCCAAGGCTCATCACCTGCTTATATCTTCTGGTAGATTCTTGAGAGCAGAGAAGTTACTTTAACACGGAAAGCTATTCTTTAAGAAGATAAAAGAGAAATCAGCGTGTCTGGGCAAAATGGAAGATAGAGCATAGAGGGATTGAGAAGATGGGGTAACCCTAACACCTATAGTCTAAATAACAAATATTTGTGGCAGATCTAATTGCTCATACTATGGGAAATTTAAAAAATTATTTATGTGGTTTAAAAAAAAATCAGTCAATAAATCACCTCATTCTGCAAAACAAATTCTCCTATTTTCTTCAGGTTTGTTTTAAGGTGAAATGCCATCCTTGGCTTTGGAGTTGATACTTGGAAAACTATGCATGGAAGGAGAAACAACACAATTTTTCTCATTGATAATAAATGAGAAACATGAAACATTATTAAGAACAAAAGATGTACACAACATCTTAGAAGGATGCTTCTTTTAGGTGGTGAAAACAGGAAACTCAAACGGCTCAAATTTTCCTTGGATGTTCAGCAGACACGTCTCATGAGTTTCTTTCTTGTGTTCACATTCAATGAAGCATTTCAAGCTGCCAGCTTTCGGTCTTGAGAGATTTCAAAATTGTATTCTTGCAGAGTACAGATGTTACACAGTTCTTGTAAGCTTTTAAGATATATTCTGTGCAATTATAAAATTCTGCATATAATGATTTAAGATGTATTCTGTGCAATTATAAAATTCTGCATATAATGATTTAAAGTATTATTACTCGTCGTAGGAGAAAAGGAGAACAAAAGGCAATAATAATAAAAACCATATATCTACACCCAACTACCAAGCACAATAATCACACATATGTTTCCTAATACCCCAAAATCTTCGTAAAATGAAAAACGATGCTTAACAATAGAACCAGTTCATGTGCCACTGCAAATAAAGGATATAATAAGAAATGTTCTTTCAGACTATTAGCCACTTCAACCATCAGACATCAAAAGATTATCATAATAAGACTGTCTTACAGAAATAAGTTGCATCCAATATTTCACTTAGATTGCGCAATTTGCATTATAACATAAACTAGGTCAATATATGAGTGTGTGAGAAAGAGCACCTTTAAATCCTGGTAGAGCCGGAAAATCTTCATTTTGGATGCTGAACTCTTGATTTTGTTGAACAATAGGACTAACACCAAGACCTTGTTTTCGCTGTGAACCTGAAATCTTTTGGTTTAGATAATCGTCTAATTGCAGGGGTCAGCACCCAAAGAGAAGTGTCTGAAAGCAAAAGCAAAAGCAAAAGCAAAAGCAGAAACTTCAATTACCAAATTGTCCTTGATGCCCACCAGCAGAATTGGGACGGCTGGTCAACTGAGGGAAATCATTCATGTCAAAAGGGGAACCGTCACTGGAATTTACATCATTCAACATTCCTAAAGAGCTAAGATTATTCACAGCTTGAACATGGCTTTGAGATAGGGGACCACCAGCAGTAGGATACGAATTTCCAAGCATAGAAATCATCTGCGGAGTAGCTGAATCCAGAAAATGTCATATATCACAGCAGAAGCATCGACTTATCTATAAATACATCATGCATAATTCATCTTCAGCTTTACAAAGAAAACAATAAGAATTCCATGCAATTGAACAGGCGTAACTAGTTGAGGAACGCGAATTTCCTCGGCATGAATGTCAATAACAGGAATAAAGGGGACAGGTAGCAGCTGAAGGGAACATGTATCCCCAAACTGTAGTTCATAGGAGGGTGGAAACCACACAAGAAGGATCATCTAGAATCACCTTTAAAGGCCAAGGGCAATAGAAATAACACTCAGGTCTCTCAATTCCCACAGCATAAAAATCTTGCCCGACTTGACTGATGCTGGATATATCCGATGTTAATTACAAGCTTCTATTGTTAGAAAATACAGCCATTTCAATTATATCAGAATTACAGTAACTTATAGACAGTGAAAGGAAACCAGAGGCATTAGATAGCAATCAAATAATCGAAGAGCAAGTGGCAGTAAAGTGTTAGGCTTTATCATCTTCCAAGACCTTTTATCCTACCCCGCAGCTTAACTAATATATATTGAATGACGACTCTTCATGGAAATACTCATTCTTGCATACAGAAACTTCTCTGCATTCAACTATCACGCCAATATGCTCAAAGCATAAGCTTTTGGATCATTCAGCACCAAATAGGAATAAGAAAAAGGCAATATCTCAAATATTATACAGTAAGGCCAAGTGATGACCAAAATTTTTAAATTGTGTTTCATGCACCAGCATCCAGGATACATTTCTCAAATTCTGCTTTGAGAGATGAAACACTTCGAAAGGTGTTTAAGGTATACAAATTCTCTCACATTGGAATATATTGTTGTTCCAGAAGAAATTCAGCTTACCATACTAAATCATGTCAAAAAGAAATCCAATGAACGAAAAAAATACTCTTCTAGGGAAGAATTTGTAAGTAACATGGTACATACTGTCATAGATGAGGTAGTAGTGACAAAACAAAATTCTTTTAAACAACAAATAGTCAGCAGTGAAGCATAAAATACCTTGTTGAAGGACACCACTCATTAATCTATTTGGACCTTGCACACCTAAATTTCCAGAACCACTATTGGAAATAAGATTTAGGCGAGAAGCAAGACCAGGCACATTTAATCCTCCACCAGAACTTATAGTCCTCCCAATGTTGCCCCCGCCAACTATGTTTCCCACTGAGCTTGCAATCCGAGGACCAGAATTACCAATAATTGGAGACACTCCCAGTCCTGTAACAGTGCTCCGGTTACCAATTGCTGCAGAGGTTGGGAGAATCCCAGGAATAGAACCACCAGCTCCATTTGTGCTACTACTATATCCAGGGTTTCCAACAACACTCATACCACCTCTATTTGTCACCCCTGAGTGACCATGTGAGCTACCATGAGACATCTGCAATCCAAAAAGGGGGTCAAAATAGAGACAGTTCAGAACAAGAAAAATAAACAAACATATATTTTTGATACGCCTTCTAATTAAAAGTCAATACTGTAGTCACACTTAAAGTAACAATTATTTCATATAATGTGTTTAACATATGCAGACACCTGAGAAAGAGCAACAGGGAGGTTGTTTGATGCAAATCGTCCGCTAGAAAGGCTTCCAGTAGGTTGTTGAAGCCCACTTGAATGAACATTATTTACTGTTGAATTTCTAGATGCAAGTGTGCCCGGCATGTTGGGAACATTAAAGCCTCCATTAATGTTATGCAGCCCTTGAATGGTTCCTGTAAAAGGAACTTTTGGTATTATATAATATTTCAAAGAAAATAGATAATAATACTCTGGTAAAATCAACTCACCACTGTGATTAAAAACTGGGGAGGCGGCACCAGATTGAGCAGAGAAAGATGTAGCAAAAGATCGCCCAGTGCTGTCAGGAAGATTTGAAGATGATCCGTTCAAAGATGACTGCAGCCACAAGTATTATAAATTTTGCAAGAACCAAATTAAACAAACCTCATAATTGCACATAAGACAGTTAACTCATATCACCAACGCTATAAGTATTTGAGTGGCAGGAAGCCATCACAAAAACCAAACTTAGATCAAACAATTAACATATAAAAAAAATGCAGACCAGTGTTGAAAACAGATGATGCAATAATTAGTCAAATTTCAAAAGGGAAATAAGCAAGCAAATGTCATGATGTTTATATGCATCTCTAATGGCATAATCTGGTCCCCTTTATAATCGCTGTAACCTCCTAGATAGCAATCACAAACAAGGTGTTCAGTAGAAACGTTCCTCATGAAATGTATGACCACACATATTAGAGACTTCTGTAATCAAATAAGCAATCATAAGGCAATGTGACGTGTTAACAGGGGATGTATATGGCACTTCGTCTTCATGCGTCTCTCGTGGAATTAGAAGCTACAATATTTGAAGAACCCACTAGCAGAGCTCTCTCATTTTTTTGCTTGATTGAATAAGCATGGGTATAAATCAAAGGTTAACAAAAATTAATTTTGCTCTCAATAATATACCTAAATAGGTACCTCGAGGCATTGCTTTAGACTACTTCCTCCCACTTGAATTTAAAATCTCATGTTGCTTTCTCAACCAATTTAGGAGTTCTGAAAAGTAGTTACCTCCTACAATAGAAGTTGGTGATCCCTAATCATTTTTTATGTGCAAAAGCACCTCCTGCAGCATTTTGATTGGTCTCAACCTTTACTGAATGATTATTTAGGCTAGAAGTCTTAAGAATACAGATGATGCCGATGATGTGGAAAATTTGTTGTTCTCTATATATCTGATGATGTGAAAGGAAAGTAGCATCAAGCGAAAATAGGAAAGAGTTTAATAACCCCTTGGCTGTCTTGTATTTGAGATTTCTTACAAGATACCAGGTCCATAAAATTGTGAAGGATTGGGATACCTTACCCAAGCTATTTAATGGGAAAGAGTTTGCTCCTCTAATGTACTTGGAGTTCCGTTCCTCTATTAACACATTGTTACTTACAAAAGACAACTGACACATTAAAACACTAAAGACAACTGACGTAAATTATGGTATGCATTTAACTCGTAAAAGAAATGTCATTATTCATATCTTTAGCAATAAAATTTGGATATTATAACCAATTCAGCCAAATATACATAAAAGGTAATGCCTTTAATTTTCAATAATACTGAAACTATACACAAAATTACTAATATTACGAAAACTTCCCAGATTATATAGAAGACCCCAATTGCCAAGTGACCATGAGCTTCTTCTCTTCCCATTATTCATGTTATTCCCAATTTAATTTTGAATTCCAAATCAATTCAATGGTTGCATAATTCCAAAATCAAAGATACTACTATGGTCATGACATTGTAGCAACAAAGAATGCCCGATTGTATGGGAAGCTAAAAAATTATTAAAATTCAAAGCTTCAAAGGCTAGAGGAAGAAGATGCATAAACATACATCACATATTTCCTTCACATTTAGAAAACAAAAGAGGGGGAGAAGAAAAAGAAAAGTAAAGAAAAAAGAGAACGAATCCAATGATTATTGAACAATGCACCAATTTGTGCTAAGTCATTCAACAAAAAGAACATCGAGATGATCCAACAACTACAAGACCAAGAATCGAACATTATTGGACATAAAAAAAAATAAAAATAAAAAATTTAAATGGGTTATGTAAAGTAGAAACAATACATTAAGTAACCCTGACATTGCAAAATGTCAAAAGGTCATGCAGGAAAGCTTTTCTTCCCAAACAGCAAATTTTGTTGTCTTCAGGGTGGATTGGCAGATGATTTCAGGATTTTGAAGCTTTTCCTGTGTGTGTAACTAAGTAATCTGAAGAAGAAGAAGAAGAAGAAAACATTATTGAAGGAGCCAATTAATAATATAAATAAACACTGAAACAAATCCATGCACAAGTTCACATGCAGAAATAAACAGGAGCAAGATAGCAATCAGGGAATAAAATTTCCACAATCAACAAATTTAAACACAGAAAAGCGGTAGAATGCAAGCGACAAGTCAAGCAGAAAACCAACTGCCAGGATCCATCCACAACTACTCAATAGTACTTAAGACGCAAATAATGATACTTAGACTTTGCATATACCCTATAAGTACCTAACCTAGTCCATGCTTGAATTCATCATTCTATCAGCCAATATTACAAGATCCAACATGTTCAAATCTCCAACACATTTTCAAATTCAAATAACATGCCTCAAACTTGGATGCAACTCAATTTGATTCAAATGGAACCAATCCGAACCCAAACCAAAATTTAAACGGGTTTGGTCAGCTATTCTTATACCTTGATACAGCAGCTCATATATACTGCAATTAAATTTATTTTTCTTAGATAGATGATGGTTTTACTAAATGTATGGAACCCTAGTTGGTTGTTTCATTTGGGTCATTGCTCTCCTACCCAACACAAATAAGCACCATTGCAAGCCCCACTGCAAACCTCCAGTCTCCCTCCATCACAAGCAACACCATGCCCACTGATCTCGCACAGTCGCACTGAATTGATGCCCCAACCACTGACCTTCTCTCACACAAATAGATTGGGTTATATATCTCCCTCTCTCTCACACACACACACACATACAAGATGCTCAGAATATTCAATTTTGCATAGTGGTTTGTAACTCTACATCTGTGGCAGCTATATTTTTTTATAAGTGCATCTGTCGCAGCTATATGGGGTTTTGTGCTTAAATTTCTATAGCTTTTTTCCTTATCTTAAACATTATGTATTTGGTCTTGTTTCTTTTGTTTTCTTTATTTCTATTGCTTATTCCAGAGATGGATTAAGTTATCCTTGTTAAAAGTTACAGACAATCACCTCAATGATAATGATGGAATGGACAGTTGACCCAACCCGATAGCGTCCAGCTGATCCATACATTCTTTGAAAAACCTAAGCCCATCAACTTCAGCTCAAGCTTGGGTAACTTGGGTTGGAGGCCAAGTTGGGTTCGACTCGGTCAGTGACAGAGCATACCTTCCTTAGTTGCAGTGTTAATCATACTTCCCCCTAAAATAACATACATCATCTCTTCTCTTGCATACGATACATCAAGAGATATATTACTTGTTACTTTCCACTAAAAGAGTGTGAACCACTTCTTGTGTATATATACATATATGTATATATATAGAATCCTTTCTTCTTCTTTTTTTCCCCAAATTAAATCATGCCATCCAGAATGGTTGACACATGCCAGGGAGAAACAGAATTGCTTGAAAAACAATATGCATATTTCCAGCCTGTAATCAATTGAAAGATTAAGTGAAATGCTAAGCCTTGTCCACAAGGAATCACCATGCCCTAAAATTATATTTAATCGTAAAGAAAGAGGACCTATCTTTGAGTGAGCCTCAAGAAAGAAAGAAAAAAAGAAAAAAAGAAAAAAAAAACGAGTACAGATATAGCGTCAAACATCCCAATTGCATGCAATCATATGAACTTCCAAAAACTACTTTCCTATGAATTACTACACCGTAACCCATTGTCAGGAAAGAGAGAAAAAAATACTTTCTATCTTCAAATTACTTAGTTCAAAACTCAATGCAATTCCACAAGGTAGAACTACGTTACTAGCTAACAAGTTTGTTCAAAGCTAAAATTTAAAACCCTAATAGAAAGAGGTTTAAGAAGCATTAAGAAGAACAAGCAGCTGTGTCAATATCAGACACCATCACTTCTCGGACACGTGTTTGACACATCTTGGATGTTTCTTTTATAAACAAAATTCTCGAGTTCAAAGAAATGGTTGACACTTCTTGAATGTGTGCTAAAATGTGGTTAATGAATCCTGAATATTGGAGAAGACTTTATTTTTAGCATAGAAAAAAAAGTATAATTGTAACAAAATTCAAATTGAAGACTTAATTAAAATTTATATAAAATTTGACACGTTTGAAAAACAAAAGTAGGAAGGTTCTATTGGAGGAGTGGGCAAGAGAGTACAAGAGGAGTTATCGAATTATGTGTACATATATACATGTACATTTCTACATTCATACTCAAAAACACATAAACAGATTTATGCGGCGTTCTTGTCATGTCTTTTCTATGCAACACTAGTGATTATAATTATATGATTTGCAAGTTACAAATTTCACATTCCACTCAAATATATTCATTTCTCATGAGCTAAAATTATATAAAAATATACATACATATATATATCTTCCTTTTCTTTTCTTTTTTTGTTCTCATCGTCTCCATATCCTAGTTATTAAGATTTACAATGTCAACATCTCTGTGTCATGTTGCCTCCTTCTCCCGTGTCTATATCATCCATGTTTCGTTACAAGAGGTTCATGCCTCATGCTTTCAGGGGAGGAGAAAAAAGAAACCCTCTATAGAGGCGGAAGTTTTATATCCTTATCCGAGAATTCTTAATACAATAAAAACCTTAAGTTTACAACAAAGTGACATAGCATTCATCTCAGGACACAACTGATAAGGTGATAAACCCTAATCATATTCATATTTACTTCTTTATAAGTTACATGTCAGAAGCATGCATCACACACCCACATATGCCATCTCACATTTTACAAATAAAGACTCTTTTCGTAGCCTTGATTTCAACTTCAGCTGTCCTTGGACAAGCTGAACGGAAAATCCTTAAAAAATTTGCAGCAACTATTTAAACCAGAGAATGTTTCACGAAGGCAGGACATAGGTGTTATATGGCAACTGAAGAGCATACAAGGAAGTAAAAATTAAAACATGAATCATAACCGCTATAACCAGAGCATTAGCATTTGAGGGCTAGACACAGCTAGTGGACCAAATTTAGATTTAGACTGATAGGATTACTATTGCCTTGAAAACCTAAAGTAAAATTGAAACATCTTTGTAGAGGAACAAAAACTGTAACCAATTTATCATTATAAGATATGATAATTACAGAAACTTGTATATATAACATAACTAAATTTAGAGACCATCATTGAAGTGCCACCTGATACAGACCACAACAATCCAAGAAATTGCTAATTAGATCAAATCTGCTCGCCATGCCACAATATTGGTATTAAATATATTTCAGCACACGCATTATTAATGCACTACACATACCTCAAATGCTATATGCATCTACATTGGGCAATACTAAAATTTAACTAGTCAGTTTTTGCCCCACATTTGCACAACCAAAGAATGTTGTCAACCACCAAATCATTTAAATTGTATATAAATGCAACTACGAAGTCCATTCCCGAAAACTCAGTCTGAGAACCATAAAACAATTTCTCACTCCTTGTATAGCAGAGACACCAACATTCAGAAAATGGAAAAAAAATTAAATTAAATTAACAAAAAATCAGTATCATCAACAACTTTTGGGCGGTTACTTTGAATGTACTAACACAATGTGAGATATATAAAATAGAACCTAATAAAATTTAAATGTTTCAGCATTATGCATAGAACAGTAAAGCTACCAAAAAAAGAAGTGTAGTTCTTCGAAAAGTTTCACTGAGAAATGCCACAACTAATAAAATTCACCTAATCTATATATCGAGATGCGATATCGAAACTAAGGCAAGGTCCTCCTATGCGCCCCAGACCCTAGACACTAACCCTCCAACCTTTCAAAACCCTAGAATCTAACTTTATTGATTGTGTTATCTCTCTGGAGAGACGAAAGAGAAGGCGATATATAGATATAGGTGTCTATGGATAGACAGAGATGGGATGTGCTTACCGGAGAGCAGGATGAGGTGGATCCGGTAAAGGATAGAAGAGCTACTGATCTGTTTGTGATGAGAGTCGGAGAGAGAAAGAGAAGAGAGAGAGAGAGAGAGAATCAGAGACAGAGAGGGGGCCAATATTATGCAAGGATTTCAAATAGGGTGTAAACTGGGCGGGCTGACCCGAATATTAACCGAACCCAATCCGATTTTTAACGGGCGGTAATATTCTTAATTTGGACCGGACTTGAATTGGACTTTTGGCAACCTCGAGCTTAAAATTTAAATTCCAACTTTTTATATATTTATGGTTATTTTGGTATCATAATAGTTACCCTGCCATTCATCTTAACATTTTCATTTTTGTTACATCAATAGGGTGTATTTTTTATAAAAAAAATTCAACACTTTAAATCATATAAAGTAATTGGCCTCATGTAATACCCCGATATTTTAAATGATTTATTAATTAGAATTAATTACTTTTATTTTATTTTTAAATAATTTATTTGATTCAATTTGAATTAATTGCATCTATTTTAATTTTTAATTGATTTGTTTTATTGAGTGCTTAGATTAATTATTTTATTTTATTTATATTTCGTGAATTATTGATATGATGATTGTTGTATGTGTGCTTAATTATTGATTGAATTGTTGGCGTGTTGATTTTATTGGTATGATTTGACTTGGTTGTAATTTATTGTTTTGTTTATGTGCTTAGTGTATTTAGTTTTTTTTAATTTAAGTGTTTATTTATTTATTTTATTTATTTAAATTAATTAGATTGGGTTTAAGGAAAGTTGGATCAAATGATATGGTTTTGGGCTTGAATGAAGCCTTATTGGGTTAATTAATAAAGCCCGTGGTTTTATGATTATTTAAATTATCATTTTTTGTATAATTATAAATATATATTTAATTATATATAAATATAATTAATTAACAAGTATTATGGAAGACTATATATGTAGATATATATATATATATTTATGGATATATATATAGGTATATTTGATTTAATTAATTAATAATTAATTATGGAATGTAATATGCATAAATATATTATATAGGATATGTGTGTCTAGATATATATATTAGTTAATGATTATTAGTTTCCTTTTATTTAATAGTCATTATTGGAATAAGATTAGGTATTAATGTGCATAAATATACATTTAAAGGTTTTATCGATAAAAATTTGTCACGTTAGAAAAATAAGAGAGGTGGAGAAAGAAGAAGAGAGGTTAGAAAAATAAGAGAGGTGGAGAAAGAAGAAGAGAGGGCTGACAAAGAGGATGCCAAATCTGAGAAAGAGGATGCCAGAATTGGAAAAAACAATCAAGGCTTGAAGCGTCGGTTTCGTTTCGAAACCTTCAGACGAGTTATTCTCTAACTTTTTTCTTATAACTCGTAAAGATTTCACATTGAGTATCAAAATCTAAGGTTAAATTTATTGATTAAATGATGGTTAGAACGGAATATTTAAAATATGAATTATTATTTTATTTTTTTTGATTTTTAGATTTTTATTGTTGTATATATGTGTTGTATATTTTGTTTACATCAACAGATAGGCTGGATTTGGACCCAAGAGGGGTTAATTAGTGTTTCTAAAATTTCTAGAATTTTTCTTAATTTTTTTGGAATTTTCTGATATTTTTCTGGTATTTTTGATAATTTATTAGAATTTATTTTTATATATTTATTGGAAATACTGTTAGCAATTCAGTGTGGCGCGGTACATAGAATAATGGTGCGCACACTGATCTAGACCATTAGATTACTTAAATATAAATGGATTGATTCAATGCATTGCGGTACATGATATGTTATTGCACATGCGGAATCCAGCGGTTAGATTTGATTGATGAAAGGGAGATAATCTGGTACGGGTGCATACATGTGAGCTCAAGTGAGCTAATCTGGTGTGGGTGTATTTGTGTGAGCTCAAGTGAGCTAATCCAGTGTGGGTGCGCTCACAGTAGTGTTTGAGCTCAGCCAATTATTTTGCCTGTTTGTGACATAAAATTAAAACGGTCATAATTTAGTCATCTTAAATCGAAATTGGGTCATTCTTGAGTTCAAATTTAAGGATTTTTCGTCCTCTTTCCAATGATATCAATTTCATTATCAGATTCCCAACCTACTAGAAGATATTTGTTTTAGTAAGACAGTGTCGGAAAACTATTTAAACCGATATGAAGTATTTAGGGGAAACTATCTCTGACATATTTAGTAGCATTAATTTGTGTAATATAGTAGATTAATAATTAGTTATGGATGGATGATATATATATATATATATATATATATATAGTTTATTTAATTTATGAGTTGTATGGATAATTGTACATATATATATATATAATTATTGATATATATGTATATGTGATTTTAAATAATTAATAATTATTAAGGAAGGATTATATATATGTAAATTAAGATCATTAGCGTTATTATTCTTACTTAATATATCTGGATGGACTGGTTATTAAATTAATGATATGCGTATAATATGCATGAGATGACTATGTATGATTTAGCGTATTATTAAGTTTAAAGTTAATTCATGGTTAAAGTGTAGGCAAGGATGAATTGTCAAATGATTAAATATATTGCCTAAATATTTGTATGAATATAATACATATATGGAAAGCATGGATGAGTTGATAATTAAATGTATGAATAAATATACCCGTGGAGGCATGGTTGAATTATCAATGTATAAATAAATATACTTAAGGAAGCATGGTTGAGTTGGCAATATATAAATGAAAATATTTATTGGTTTTCAGAGACCTGGTAGAGTGAATTTGCTCGTAGGGTTTAACCCACGATTTATTTTTCAGGTTATTAGAAGTTCAAGTCTCAAAGTTGAGGATCCGCAGCTGAAGGACTTATCTATTATCTCTATTTTATTTCAAAATAGGATATTATTACTTCGTAAGTATTAATAGATTAATAGATAGTGGATTTTGGTTAAGGAGTCATTGAGTTACAGGATTTCCGAGTTGTAAATTTTGGACAATTATTAATTAAACTTTTATTTAATAGATTCCTTTCAGCGAGTTATTTATTCTTTTTATTTATTTTTGTACTATGTGCTTGTTTAAATACTTTAATTGTTTTGATATTTCCCTGATTTTGTTCGTGGATTTGATCAACTCGTGTTTCGAAATTAGGGGGTATCACACCTCATAACTATTTTATAAATTTTTTATTATTTTTTTTTTATGGCATAAAATTCAACATATCATAGTAATGTAGCAGTAACAAAAACAAGTTATAATGGTTGTGAAACTTTATCGACCATGCACACCATTAATTGTGCAGAATTGGCTGATTTTTTAAGGACTCTTGCATTTGGTAAGAATAAATTTAAAACTTCAAAAAGTATTACATATGATTTAGAATAAAAACCATAATTGTAAGATTTTACTATCATTTGGTAAGGGTGTAAGTGAAAAATTGAGTGGTTTAGAAATTAAAATGAAAAAAAAAAATTCAAAAGTATGACTTATTGGTGTTAGGAAATATTTATAGGAATTATTTGTGTATATAAAAAGTACTAGTGGTAAAAATTTTAAAAATGGCAAAAAAATAAATAAAACTAAATTAATGTGAGCTATAAATTTATTTAATTGTTGTTCAAGCAAGAAAAATCTCCAAATTGTATTAAAAGATGCAAATATGAGATGCAAAAATTCTTAAATATGGTACTAATTTAATTTAAGGTGTGCTAAACACAATAGCCTCTGTGAGGTCCATTATATATAATGGAGTCCACATAGGTCAAGGTGTTTTTTGTCGCCATTTAAATAACAGGGTAAAGTACAGTCACACCCTCTGAAGTTTGGTAAAAAGACACTCAGAGGGAACTTATTTGTTTTTTGGACAAAGACACCCCCTGAAGGTTCAAAAATGGACAAAGACACTCATTTACATGAAAAATTGACCAAATTACCCTTTGACCATTTAGGAGATTTTTTTAACTTTTCAATTTAATAAATTGAACCAATCTACCCTCATGAATAATTTATGCATAAAAAAAAGTAAAAAAAAAAAAAAAAAAAAAACTTTATATTGTTCACTTTTTTTTTATTTACTTTATAAATGTCCCAACTTCTTAAAAATGTAGATGTCTAAAATGATTTTTTGATTCAATACATATATTTCAAATAAATTATATTTTGTTATTACTTCTTTTCTTTTTCTTTTTTATTTTTAAATTAAGATGCTTAATTCTTTTATCTAAAAAAATTAAACCAATCTCTTTTCATTAAAAATAAAAAAATATAGTAGCAGTATAACTTTATGCATCTTAAATTATATATCAAATATTATGCATTTCCCAACACAAAAGAAAATAGGTGTCAGTATAACTTTATGCATGGCTTTGTTTTTTTTTTTTTCCCCTTTGTTTTATTATTATTTTTTTTTCCTTTTTATGTTGGGAAATGCATAATATTTGATATATAATTTAAGATGCATCAAGTTATACTGGTACCATATTTTTTATTTTTAAGGAAAAGAGATTGGTTTAATTTTTTTTAGATAAAAGAATTAAGCATTTTAATTTAAAAAAAAAAAAGAAAAAGAAAAAAAAAAAGAAGTAATAACAAAATATAATTTATTTGAAATATATGTATTGGATCAAAAAATCATTTTAGACGTCTACATTTTTAAGAAGTTGAGACATTTATAAAGTAAATAACAAAAAAAGAAAAAAAAAATAGTGAACAATATAAAGTTTTTTTTTTTGGTTACTTTTTTTTATGCATAAATTATTCATAAGGGTAGATTGGTCCAATTTATTAAATTATAAAGTTAAAAAAATCTCTTAAATGGTCAAAGGGTAATTTGGTCAATTTCTCATATAGAAGGGAGTCTTTGTTTATTTTTTAACCTTCAGGATGTGTCTTTGTCCAAAAAATAGGTAAGTTTCATCTGAGTGACCTTTTACCAAATCTCAAGAAGTGTGGTTGTACTTTACCCTAAATAATATTATTAGAACTTTTATCTTGACACAAAATTCATGCATTGTACTTGATGAATAGTCCAACAAGAACTCTATTTGAAAATAATAGAATATCTCTCTCAAATATTTATCTTTA